TAAGTTAAAGTATTAACGTAATAAAAAAAAACTTTGTCTATTTATTTGTACCAGTTTATTTTTATGACTTACTTAAATATAAAAGCACACTAATAGGGACAGTTACCCTAACCGTTGAAGAATTTTTAAGTACTTACAATTAGTAAATTGGTACAAATAAATAGACAAAGTTTTTTTTTATTAAGTTAATTACTTTAACTTATAAAAAATACTAATATAAAAAATACTAAGTACCAGGTTATTTTTATAACTTATTTAAATATAAAAGCACACTAATCAAGTATTTTTTTTATTAAGTTAAAGTATTAACTTAATAAAAAAAATACTTTGTCTATTTATTTGTACCAGTTTATTTTTATGACTTATTTAAATATAAAAGCACACTAATAGGGACAGGCACACTAATAGGGACAGTTACCCTGTACCACCAATAGTGGTTCGCATTTGCAAAATATTAGTGCGTTTTGAAACCTATAAAAAACAAGTGTCGCAACTGATCTGTCCACGACTGTACATGCGGTATCCCAAAGCCAAATACCAATATATTCTATAGATAAAAGTAGGAAAAAAACTGTTATGTAAGATATATAATTCTATAAAGACTGTGGATCTCTATGTTTACATAACAGCGTTTTTTCTTATTTTTATTTACAAAGCATATCAGCACTGTTTGACCTTAAAAATCTGGAACATTTAATAATATCTATCAGATATAATGTGTTATTTCTTGTGTGTATACGTATGTAGAATTGAACAAGAAAGTATTCATGAATTCAACGATTGGATAATTGCTGCAAAGTGGATATCATTTAAGGAACAAATGCAACTGGCAATTCTATTTGCCCATAATTATGTATCTATATATGATACGTTTAATAAAACCTGTCGAGTCGTACGTTGTGAAGAAACATGCATACTGTATCCTTTCATGATTTTTGTTAATCTTTTAGAGATAATTGACATCACAAGGACAATGACAATTTTCTTAACTGATATACAGCTATGGCGGTTCTATATCGGGTACGTCTCAAGAGAATTTAGTTATTTTTAGTGGAACGGTATTTCAAGAAATTTTAATATGGAAAATAGACAATGACTATAATGATATTAACAAAAGAATGCCAGTTTTGCATCGTTTAACAGGACACAAGGTTTGATAATCACATTCAAAGGGAAGGATAAAATTTTTTGAATAAAAACCTTAACTTTTGCAAATTTATTCTAGGGTGTGATTTTTTCCGTCGTTTGTGATCCGTCCTCGCGATTTATTTGTTCCACATCTGACGACAGAAGTGTCAGATTCTGGAAAGTAACAGAGGACGAAAATTCCGAAAGCGATAGTGTAAACTGGCAGACAGTGAAAATAGCGCCAGTAAAAACGATGTTTGTACATACAGCGAGAGTTTGGAAAGCCTTGATTAGAAATGACATTGTTTTAACGATAGGAGAGGTGAGATTTTCAATTGTATATCACATAGTTACAACTTAATCTTCACGTATACAGGGTGATTTTTTTAACCTGAAACTTTCAAATATCTCGAAAAATAAGCACACTAGGAAAAAATGTTTCAGACAAAAGTTGTAGGGTTTCGAGGGGGACATAAGATGATAACATTGATTTGACCCTGAGTGGCGTCGTCAAGGTCAGGACAAGGTCACTTTGAATTTTTTAAATGGAACCCCCAATTTTTCATTACACGTTCTTATAGCTCGCCTCGAGAACTTTCCAAAACACATAAATAAAATA